GCATTCATGGAAACGAAAATCTCCGACCAAAAGCAATATGGTCTTCTTTGTTATTGAGAAATACCTAGAAACCACAATCTGGAGAATTTCTCCCAAAAGCAATATTGCCCAGGGATGGGGATAGGAGGTTTGGTTATCTTAAGCTTCTATTCGTAGTGCAAAATTAATTATTAGGGATGCAAGGGATTGTGGTCTAATAATTAAGGATAGGCTTTCTTCGCCGAGGGATCTGGTTTTAAGTGATTTAGATAGTGACGTTAACAATTGAATGAAGAAGATAAATTCTTATATGCATGAGAGTAAGGATGGTGAAATCTAAATCCCAACAACATACTCATCTCATAGTATAAAAATCATCCATTCACTTTTGTGTCTTGCCCCAATCAAATTGCCTTCATATTTACTTTTTCTGCATTTTGCATTCTAAACCAATGAAATTGTTCTTAAGTCTTAATTAGTTAAGGTATTACATGACTGTCTAGTACCGTGAGTCTTCTGGGATACGATACTTGGTCTTGCCATTTTATATTACTTGATACGATTTGGTACAATTGCCAATGTGTTAACAGTTATGTATTCACACTCAGGGGTGGTGCGATTACATGGAGATCAGTCAGGCAAACAATTATTACAAGATCAACAATGGAATGAATTATTGCTCTTGAGATGGTTGGTAACGAGGCTGAGTGGTTGAAAAACTTCTTAGCGAACATTCCATTAGGAAAGAAACCAACCATGTCGGTATCAATACACTGTGATTGTCAATCGGCAATAGCTATAGCTAAACACAAGAATTACAATGGAAAGAATAGACATATACAATTGAGACACAATTTGGTGCAGCAGCTGCTAAAGAGTGAAATTATTTCCATTGATTATGTGAAGTCAGAACGGAATCTAGCATATCCTCTAACCAAACCCCTTAGAAGACAAATGATATTAGAAATATTGAGGGGAATGGGACTTAAGCCACTTGCAAACAAACAAGTGGTGGTAACCCAACCTTTGTGATTGAAGATCCCATGAATAAGGTTAATATAGGTAAAAACAAGTCACTTGTTAGTTCTGATAGCACTAAATTGATTTTAATCAATTATGGTGTGTGTGAAAGTGCTAGAGATTGCATTATTGAGAGGCTAAACTTTGTCATTAAAATTCTATATGGTGGTAGAATTTTATCTTAAAACAAAGTTCTTAATGATTTTCATATCCCTTATGGGTGGTGTATGATTTGCAGCATACACTTGATGAAATCACCTATATAAGTGTCAAGTGGGGCCGCTTGCATGAGATTTTGGCATGATCTCTAGAGCACTCATGAATATCAGGCACGAGCATGGCCTAGTAAGCGCAACACAACGATAACAACAAGGATTGTGAGGGTGTATTGTGATTGATAAGCCTCTAACACACGTCAAGTGTATTTGGTTCATATAGCTTGCTATACCAACTACATTGTGTGTTAAGTTTCTAAATCTAAGACTAGTTCACATGAGAATGCTTAACTCAATTTAAATGTTCAATAACATAAACCTTCAATTTAGTCGATAATATAAAAAATTTATCTTCTTTGTTATCTTATTACTAAATTTTGTTTCATTTGAAGAAATTTTTTGTTTTGCTAAAATCATTTTAGTTATCTCTCTCAATAGTTCGAATAAGGTGATATTTGAAAAGTTTCTTAAGTCTCAAAAATATTCTTCATCTTATTCATATTTTTAATTATACATTTGTTTTTCTTTGTGATATTTCATTCAACGGTCTATCTATAAGACACACATTTAATTATTTTTTTTAATATTTCTATTTGTTGTTTATTTTCATCATGTAGAATGTTGTTTTAATATTTTTTTTAATATAATTATCTTTATTTTTTTAAAGTCATATCGTAAGTGTAATTTTACCTATAAATAAATTTTATTACTATAATATAACAATTTAATGTAATGGTCATGAATAATTTTTATCAATATTCAACATATATTCATGTTCAAAAGAGAAAAGATTTATGTTAAATTTTAATTATTATTAGTTTAATTTTTTTTCTTTTGTATGATTTTGATCAAGTAGTATATTGTAATTTTTATTAGTGTATAGAAAATAAGATTTCATTATAATTTAAAAAACTAAAGTAAAGAAACATTTAAAATATTTTTTAATTTTAATAATTGTTTTCCTTATATATTTTCTAAAATAAAAATTATCAACTAGGTTTCAATGTTTTGGTTCTCTTGATATTTTATTTGATATTCTATGTATACGATTATAACTTTTTTCTAAACATTTGATATTAAAAAAATAATAATATTCTTTTTTAAAATTAAATATTTAATAATATTATATATTTTTTCATAATTTTAATAATTTTATAAAAATTAATTAATTAAAATTGAAATAATAATATAGTGGACACATAAATGGATATATCCTTTATTAGATAATAATGAAAATATATTTCTTATTGGATAATAAGGAGGATGAGACAAAAAATTAAAATCATTTAAATTTAAGTATGAAAATAGGAATAAATTTATTCTTGATAGGTAAATATAAGATAGTAAATCTCGTCCCATTATCTTCTAAGCCGTTGTCGTCTTATTTCCAATTAGCTTCAACAAATATTCATTACTTTCGTATTCTATATTTGCAGTTAAACCTTCTCATTTTTGCAGTTCTATTTACATTATTCATTACTTTCGTATTCTATATTTTCCATTGAGATTACTAAAAAGAGATGCTATCTAATTACAATTGTTATTTGAACACTTTGATGTTCTTTACAAAATCCTAAACTTTACTAATTAAAATCATGAAACTATGGCACTCACAAATTAACTTAAAATTATGTTATTTTTACTTTATTTTATATGTAATTGAAAATATTTAAGGATATGATATAAACTAATGATGGAATGTACAATAAGAAAATTTTGAAAAAAATATATAATCTCTGTGCAGAATTATAAGATCTTAAAAATAAATAAAATCTAAAATTACATTTACTTCAACTAATAATGTTATAAAATAATTTAAATTTAGTAAGCTTTAGTCATCAACTACCTTTTCTCCTTTATCGTGTATTGAAGTTTCAAATAGTTAATCAACTACTTGTATTAAAAATTGTCTTGGGAGATCAATTATTATAATTGAAATGATGATGAAGCTAATAAGTGAATTTATGGAGTTGTTGACTTTTTGGCAACAGTACTATATTTCTAAACTGTTAAATGTACCTTAAAATATTCATGCTATTTTCTGTAATCAATGTTAGTTTTGTATTTAACTTTAAATTTCGTTATATATTTAATCAAATAATCAAATTGCAAGCTTACATCAATATAATATATATATATATAACCGGAAGCAATCATTCTTTTACAAATCAATTATGATAATAAAATTAAGATTAAACTCACTTTTATTAGAGTCTATCATAATAATATTTATTAAATATATTATGTTATTCACTTTGGAATTACCTATAAACATTTAATAACTTCCATGAAATATAATTATATTGATATATTAAAAATCTCTAGAGATAGACTCTACTGTTCAGTAACCTAAAAGAAATTAACTAAAGTGGACTAAACTATCAATTAATTATACTACATGAACTAAAATAACTGGATCTATTCAAAGTAACAATTGAATTGAATCTTTTTATAATTCAGTCTCTAAAATTACACAATTCAATTCATATTACTGAATTTGTTTTTATTGATTTTCTTCCAATTAAAAAAAATGAAAAGGATTGTTTTTTATTTATTTTAATCATAATAAATATTTCCATTATTTAAAAAATATTAATATTGAACATGAAAAAAGTGAAGGAAAACAAAAGTCAAAGTAAAAAAAAGTGTTACATCTACATATTTAGAAAAATTGAAACAATTAAAAACGAAGTTGAAAGAAAATAAATTGAGGGAAAAAAATACAAGATAAACTAAACTAATTAAAAATTATAAAAAAGTTGTTTGAAAGTATATACAGATATTAATTATGTATTATAAAATTAAATATCATATAGATTAGTAAAAACTATAATTAGACCACTTAATAATATATTCTTATTATAAACAAAAAATTAAGCTTTATCAAAGTTGTACTAAAAAATATTCATACTTATTTGTATACAAGTTGAAAGAATACTTTTCTTATTCTTTTTTAGAAGAATCTTAAAGAGCTTGAAAGAATACTTTTCTTATACCTTTCTAGAAGAATTTTAAAGAGCTGGATAAATTTGAGAAACTTGAGTAAGTTGAATAAGGTAAATTGATATGAAAAATTTATATATTTTTTAGTTTATATTTTTAGTTTTAAAAAATGATGAAATATTTTTTTTTTTAGATTTAACGATGAAGTGAGACAATTTAAGTGCATTTAAATAATTGAAGATGTATTAATAAGTTGTATTTTATTAAGCAACTTATATTTAAAGTTATATTAATTTTTTTTTTATTTTGTTGTTTATGAAAAAACATATATTCTTAAGTAACAAATTTTTCTTATTCTAAACTAATTTTCAGGGAAGACAAACTACTTTTTAATTTTTAATTATTCAGTTCATACAATTCATTTTGACAAAATCAAATCCAACATGCATTATTATATAAATGTACACATTCACCAACATTTTAAAGATGAATTAAATTTAAACTCATTTCTTAATAATGAATAAGTACAAACTTGCATCAAATCAAATTGGACAACCATACCCGAAACTACAAATGGATTGAGTTCTTGTTCAAAATTCTATTAGCCTTTTAACCAAAACCAAATTTCTTTTAAAAAAATCATTTTTAAGTTTGATCATCATGATTTCTAGTATTGTAACTCTTCAAATCACTGATTTCATGTATAAGAATAATTTAAGAGTGCACACAGACAATTACTATTACAACTTTTCTTTAAACATCATCAAAACACATCCTTAAACTAAATATAGAAAGAACTAAGAAATCTCAACATACCAATTATAAAGAAAAAAAGAAGAAATACTTCAACAAATGCAGTCATAAATAAATATGCAAACAGGTTTTGATTACATCCGAATTAGCCTACTCATAATACTGCAGAGTGCAGCATCTACCTAATGAGCCGATAAATAATATATCAGATACTCTACCTAGCTGCAACTTACAACACTGAAACTACATCCTATGGTAATAGACATCAGACATCAGACATCAGACATGTTTGAAACAATCACTGTAGACATTAAATAAAACAGCCGAGTCATGAACTTTGTCAGCAAGAGTGCTTGAGGTTGTTGATCTTCAACTTAACAATCAGGTAAAGATATGTTAATATCAGTAGCTGACTTTCTTGAGTCTGCCATAGAATGCATGTTCACCCAGTTATCTCTTCTAAAGGCATTCGGAGGACTCAGGTTAGAGTTAATACTTCCTGAATTTTGCAGCACATGTGCTCCACTCATTACATTAATATTCACATCCTCTTTTTCAGGATTGCTCGCCGCCGGTGCCGGTGGCAGTGGCGCCGTTGTTGGAGTCACTGCAATAACCGGAGAAATAGCTGCTGCTGCTGCTGCATAATCAGTAGACTTAGGCTTTTTTAGTTTCTGCTCTTGCTGGCTGCTTGGTAAAAAGCTTCCCACCACCACCTAAACATAAGCAAACAGGCATAAGTCATCATCAAAGAGTGAGAATGAGTATTAGCAAACTTTGTTTTGGACATTAATATTTCAAAATTGAATTTTGTTTTATATTGAGGAAGATCACTTGCCTGAACAGGACTGGCAGCTACAAGAAGACCGGCAACTCCACCACCGACAACACGGCCGTCGGGGCTAGCCAGAGAGACAGACATTCCACCAGACCTGCTTCTTGTACCTTGGTTGTCAGTAGGCATGAATGATCCAGACAAGGAAAGTATCTCAAAACGGCCCTGCAAGAGAAAATGCTTTCAGAAAAACTGTAACAGTTGTTATATGTTTGAGATCAAAACAGATCCACATTTACACAAAATGGTAGAAATCAGAAAGAGAGAGAACTTGTGATGAAACAACTTACACTTCTGCATGTGATCATAATACAGACACACAGATATATAAAGTATTTATAGACTTAGTAGAGACTATCCTTTAGATTATGGCAAGTGATGAAACTTTCAACTTTCTCAATGCTAATACCAATGAACAATGATGATTTATTGGGTCGAGTAGAGAAAGAGAAAGGAAGAAAATAAGAGGAACAGAAATAAGAATGATAGAAGTAAAAGAAAAATAGTGCAGAAACTTTTCTTTCCTTATTCAGATTAGGACAGTAAAAAGAAATGAATAACTTCAATGCAAAATGTTTATACAGTAATCAGAAAATTTTAATTTAGGATGTGTTCGGATAATATTCTCCATAAGTACTTCTTAGAAAGAGAAATACGAAAGTTTGTTAAATAAGCTTATTCATAGGTTAAAATTAGCTGATGCAGAGGAAAATTTATAAAAAGTTTAACATATAACTTCTCTAAGATTTTATTTGTTAATTTGTGCATAAGCTAATTTTAGCTTATAGAAAAACTCATTGTATTCTTCCTTATTTTTCTGTTCTAAAGAAGCTTGTCCAAATCAGACCTTTTACCAAAAAAAAGATTACAGTTTTAACACCATTTTTTTTTAAAAAAAAATTATTTATTTTGCTTTAGCAATTATGCTATAAAAAATTATTGAACTTTTTAAGAAACTATAATGAAAAAGATAACCTATTTTCCTTCTCCTCCTATCAAGAAAAAAAAAGAAGAAAATTGGCATTTCTATCATTTCTCCCTTTTCTCCATCTCCTTCCTCTCCAATTACACCCTAAGAAAAACAACATGTGCATTCATTAAACACGAAATATCATGAACATGTTTCCTAGGTACATTAAATGCCATTATTCAACCAACAAAGTTTTATCCAGAACTACAAAAAATGAATGCATCCACTTGTTTATCAATGTTTTTTGTTAAACTGTGATTCAAATGAATTTACAGCCTTAAACAAATAGAGGATTCTTTGCATTAAAATATCAGTTTGAAAAAAAGGAAAGCTCACAGAAAAAAAACAAAATAAAACAACAAATGACACACCTCATAAGTTAAAGTACCCCCAGAAGAATCAGGCTGTCGAAGTGTAACATTTGAAATGACACCATTAGCAGATAAGATACATATAGCTCTAGGCCCTTGTTGAGAGAAGGATATCACCTTCATTGTAATGTCCTACAACAGCCAATGTGTAAAGCAAGATAACATCAATCAACTATAATCATTATAATATTATGAACTTTACTAGAATCATTGAATCTGTGTCGTACCCTTGTTTTGTAAAAAACCATAATAAAGCATGAAAACAAAATAAAAAAGGGGAAAAAAGAAAGTTCAAATCCAGTTCATAGCTGTCACCGTGCATATAAAAATGACTTTTAATTAGAATGCATTATCCATGTTAAAATATCGTGCACCCATTTGATCTGAATTTAATAGTATCAATTTTACAAAAAATTATCATTATTAAACAAAAAGTACTTATTTCACACCAGCAATAAACTAACATATAGAGAATGGAACAGTAGAAATCAATGAACTGTCTTGAATTTCCATTGTGAATTGCTAAGTCCATTCACAGAACAAATAAAAGGTTGTATACTTTTGTCATCCACAAAACTACAAATAAATAAACAAAAATATTGCAGAAACAGATTTTAGAGTGGATTTTTAGTAGATTTATAATTGAGAATAAACAAATATATAAAGGGCTACCAAAAGTTTAATGTCTACTTGAAAAACGAGAAGTAAAAATGTCAATTCAATGATGTTTTTCCTTTGCCCTGTCCCAGTGAAGCATACCTCACCAGCATTGACAGTGATGATGTGTGGCATAAAATTTGTACCATCAGAGCATGCATTCAAGTCACCTACAGAAGCACCAAAAATAGATATTACTGAACAGAGTTGANTTTAGAATGCATTATCCATGTTAAAATATCGTGCACCCATTTGATCTGAATTTAATAGTATCAATTTTACAAAAAATTATCATTATTAAACAAAAAGTACTTATTTCACACCAGCAATAAACTAACATATAGAGAATGGAACAGTAGAAATCAATGAACTGTCTTGAATTTCCATTGTGAATTGCTAAGTCCATTCACAGAACAAATAAAAGGTTGTATACTTTTGTCATCCACAAAACTACAAATAAATAAACAAAAATATTGCAGAAACAGATTTTAGAGTGGATTTTTAGTAGATTTATAATTGAGAATAAACAAATATATAAAGGGCTACCAAAAGTTTAATGTCTACTTGAAAAACGAGAAGTAAAAATGTCAATTCAATGATGTTTTTCCTTTGCCCTGTCCCAGTGAAGCATACCTCACCAGCATTGACAGTGATGATGTGTGGCATAAAATTTGTACCATCAGAGCATGCATTCAAGTCACCTACAGAAGCACCAAAAATAGATATTACTGAACAGAGTTGAAACTTACAAAGCAATCAATAATAACTAAAAATAACTCATATTTTGAACAAAAAGGCTGTTAAAAAAATTATAACTTAATGAAAGATTTGTTGAAAGTAGTTTCCAACTCCACAGTTAGACAGGATGCAAAATTCAAAGAAACACAACCAAGTAATTCAACATCAGAAACAGAAACATGTTTGAAACTTCACTACAAGGTACAACAAAATGAAAGTCACTTGATAAACCATATTAATTACCAACAACAACATTGAACTCATCAAAGAGACAAGGATCCATGATTTACCTAGATAATCCAAACCAAGTTTTTTCGACTGCTTATACTCCATACCCCGCATTTTCCCCCTCTTGCCAGATGAAAAATCATTAGAAGATGGTGCAGAAGACGAGATTGGCATTGGTGACAATGCCATAGTGACAGACCCATCAGGCCCATATTTCCTTGGTCTACCTCTTTTCTTCTTTGCTGATCCATCCAACCCCACACTTACCGGTGAGATACCAATAGCTGCAGTACCACCAATGCCGCCGCCACCACCACCACCACCATCAGGGACATGAACCTGGTTTGGAGCTTCACTCCTTGGCGCCACATGATAAGCTGATGGAGCTTCTGCCCCTATCACTGTAACCCCAGAACTAATACCTTCTCTGGCTTCCATGCAAATATTGATTTTTCACTCCCCAACCCTGTATCACCAAACCAACACCTACAACCCCAGAATAGAATGAAGAACAGTTAGTAAGTAAACGGAATATTAGAAAATAATTCATAAAAAAAAATCATAGCTTTTGCCAAAAGAATCAATGCATTCAAGCAAACCTTCTAGAGCAAGATTCAAAGACACTGTGAAAACCCATCTAAGGATCTCACTGACGACTAAGAAGGTAACGAAAAGATGCAAACATCAATTTTACAAGAAGCTGTTTCACTTTATCAGCAAGATCTGTCGAGATTTTTAGCTATGCAATAAGAAAAATAAATAATAAAAAAATCAACACTTCTTGTTCTGAGTAGAGGAATCATAATAAGAAATGCAGATATCTGCGAGCAAAGTTTAAGATTTTTGGTCTTTGTTCATGTCTGAAAACGGGTACTTGGTTTCAAACACAGGAGCAAGAAATTTACCTCTTAGCAAGAGAGGAAAAAAGAAAAATCAAATATTAGCCACTAAAAGCAAAATAACAAAAACTAGTAAAATAGTACAATTGTATAATTTTTCAAAAAATTCCCCCACTCGGCTAAAATAATTATGAAAAACCTGGTAAAAATAAAAATAAAAATCATCCATTTGTTCAAATATATTTCTCAAGCTGGAGTGAAAAAATAAAGCAGAAGCCACACAAAAACATCATAGGCATTTCAGAAACAGAAAAACAAACAACACCCTTTGCCATAAATCTGCTTCATACCCAGCATTTTTTTCCAATCTTTAAAAGACAGAAGAAAGCTGGAAGAAAGGAGAAAAATAGTAATAAATGCCAAAAATACAAAATAACATTACGAAACAAAGCTCCTTATATATTCTCTTATGGAAAGCAAATCAACATCAGGGTGTGGATATTCTTCAGAATGCAAAGATCATGACCTGTCACAGTGATTCCACACTCGAGCAAGCTTCTTCAGAAGCTGAAAACTTTTATTCAGATTTCTTTTTCAGCTCAACAAGAAACTCATCAACTCAACTGGACTCACCCCAGAGAGTGAAAACACAAAAAAGAAAAAAAAAACACAAAAAAGAAGAAAAAAAAATACACTGTTTCCTCTGGAAAATTGAAGCCACTTACAAATTTCAGAAGGTGAAAAATACTCGCTGGCTGGTTGGTTTTTCCAAAGCTGCTTGAATTGAGAGTTGAAAAAGAAAGAAAAATGGAAAGCTCAAAATAAATACTACTGTTACAGCAATTAAAAGCTAAATAACAATACCAATAATAATAATAGTAATAATAATTCAGGAAGGAAAAAAAAAAGTATAATAATAAAGTGTGCTTCAATTAAACAAATAAAATATATTAAAGATTTTATTTGATTTGAATAAATTCCTAAACCCGATAAATACAATATGGTTAAGAAGAATTTGGCGTCCGTGAGGGGCAATTAAAAATTCTGAAAATCAAAATCAAAATGAAAATGTGTGTACACATTTGAGTCGTAGGTTATTATGGTAAATTTGTCGTAAAGCAATCAAATTTATAGAAAATAAAGTGTTCTCTTTTTCTTTTTTTATTCTCAAATTAATTAATTTTCCTATTTAAAGCTGCAAAGACAGTGTTGGACGGCCAAACCTTTATGTTTCCGCTGACCTCCTTTTTGTCCTTTTTCACAAAATGAAAGATTGTGTCACTCATTATGCCCTTAATCTTCTCTCTAATTACCATTAATGCCACTGAAGTGGAACTCTTTTCTTCCATTTTCTTATATTTATCCTTTTTTATTAAAGAAATCTGTTAAATTCATTGAATGTCTTTAGTTTGGTGTTAATTAGGGTTGCTTCCATTGACAAAATTCAAGTGTGACCAACAAAAAGTTGTTGATTTTTCTTCATAAATACCCACCAATTATTATAATATTATTTTATATTAATTAATTAATATAAACAACAAGGCTTGTAGATTACAAAGAGGCAGAGAAATAAATACTCCAGACTTTCAAAATATATAATGCCAATTACTTCTTTGAGAATATCAACCTCACAATCATCTTAATTATTTCCAAGCAAGAAAAAGTTAACAAGAAAAACATTAAATTTATTTTAAGACTATTTAATGTCCCCTTTTGCTTTTTCTTTTATTTCACCCATAATAATAATTCTATAATAATACACAACTTGTGTTTATAATTAAGATAACACTTCAATCTCCTCATAAATCACCAAGTGCTGTGATGGGTAATTAAATTATACAACTATTTTATTAAAAATTAATTATTCATATATTATTTTTTTCTAATTTTTTTAATAAAAAATATATTTCTCGTATGTTAAGAAAATTCATAAAACGTATTTTCTACAAACATATTATTTACGGATTTTTAATCGTGAAAAGAATATTATTATCCACATACTTACATACTTACAGTTTTCTCTTATATAAAGATGCATTAATAAAAGAAAAATAAAAATATATAATCAAAGCATAGTGGTTGGAGGGTTTGGTGATCATGCATCACATGTAAGTGAGTTTTGGTGAGGAGATTGTGGAGAAAGGAAAGAAAATTTTTCTATATAAGTAGTGAATTTGATGTTCAAGAATTTAGGATTTAAGAAAAAAAAATGTAAATTTTAAACTAAAGAAAGAATAAGAAAATTTGGGATAGCATTTTTTTTTCCATCAAATACTGTTGATTGAACATTAAAAAAATTAATTGATGATAATATTTATATAAAGATTAAAGTTATTTGCATGCATTTTCCATTTGAACGTTGAATTAGAATTTATAATCAAAAGAAAAAGTCATGATTGTATGTACAGAAATATAGCATGATCAGAATAGTTATCTAAAAAGATGGAGAATAATAACATTAAAAAGTTGGTGAAGTATTTAAAAACATAATATTGCTTTAGAGTTTAAAAATAAATTAATATTTTTTTTCACTTATTTAATGTAAAATTTGAAGAAAATAGTAAGGTATGTGATTTTAACTTATGGTAAAAATGATAGTAGAAATGAAGGACAATGGAGTAAAAAGGTTGATTGAATTTAATAGAAAAAAAGTGTTAGATATTTGTTGGTGTTGTATAAAAAGGGGATGGTGAGTGATGTATGGGCATTGATGACATAATGTTTATGCATGGAATGTGTAATGAAGAAAAAGAAGATGTTGATTACATGGTAGAATCTGAAAGCAGAGAGTGTCACGTGAGAGAGTCACGTGAGAGTGTAGCAGGTGTAGCCACCTGCCTCAGTTAGGAAACACTTTCCTTACCCGTGAGTTAGTGACGGAAAAACAAAATATATTATTCTTTATTATTTTTTGGATAAAAAAAGAAATTAAGAAAACCATATCTTGCCCACAAAGTCATGCCTTCCATCAAAAAATTTAAAGTTACGTTTCATCTAATCTAATTTAGATCTTATTATTTTTATTATCATTCAAAACCCTTTTCAAATTCTATCTACATTCAAAGATTAGTTACGATCCAACTATTCTAAATAAATAAAATACAATTTCGTTTAAACATTTTTAATTCAATTTTCCCGCTTTAAATATTTTTAATTAAGTTTTCTCTTTTTCTAGTATTTCATTCGTTCCGTTGTAATTTTGGTTTGCCATATTACTTAATTGTCTATTTCATTAATATAAAAATGATATCTTAATATAAAATAAAATAATGAGTAACATTTATTGTTTCTATTGAAAACATATTAGATAATAAGTTTATCATGTTATCGGTAACTTCTATATCATAATTAATGATAATATGGTAGATACAATTCCATAATGGTAGTATTAAAAATAATACTTAATAGTTATACTTGATATTGTAAAAATCATCTTGTATATTATATATATATATATATATATATATATATATATATATATATATATTATATTTTTTT